AAAAACAAACACTTTTTTAATCATACCAAATAATTTACAGCCAGTTTGCTGAGCACACTTACTGATTTAATCGAAGGGCTTTGACAGCTCGGCTCTCTGGAAACCCCATCTCTGTAAGCTGTCGCAGAGCTATCTCATCCACTCTGTCTTCCTCATCCTCATCCAGCATGGCTACATACACACAAAAAGAACCATGTTCAAATGCACTTTGAGCTTAAATAAACCCCTTCCTCAATGGAAAGGGACATGTTAAGTTCAAACCCCATTCTCCTCTTCAAATCCCCGCTTTTGTTTCTGCACCAAATTCGCTATCTCACCATTTAGTTTGTTGCACTCAGCTTGATCTGATTCAGATAGCTTCCTGCAGGACAAAAAACTTTGTCTGTGTGCATTCACAGTTGCTGACAACAAACTCCCACATTACCATGGGATGTCCACATCAGGGAACAAACTTTGTGAACCTCTTACATATTTATTAGTTACCTAAAAATATAACTGAGGCCAGGTCCTACCAGATGAAGAGCAGATTTGCCACAGTACATCAACAGCTACAGTTTTTCCTCATTTAACTCTTTCCTTGTGAATTCTAAACAATTCTTTACCCCCATCAAGGTGCAAGTCAAGTTTTTCGGTTATTTTACTATTAACATCTTTTAGTTTTAAATGGAACTTTTAATCTATCCCAAAAGACTTAAAATTTTATGCAACCTATAGCACAAGATGAAATCTTTGCCTCAAAATTATTACAGCTCTGATATTTCTGTAAGTTTGATGCTTCACTCAGCAAGCCTCTTCTCCTGCTGTGGAAGCACGCGAGTTCCTGGGAGGAAATTAGTAACCATAAAGATATGTTCATACCATTTGCCTTCTTAAATAGCTCAACTGCATCTGGGTTCAGTGCTAGCAATTTCTGTGCAACTTCTATGAGAGAAACTAAGATCTTCCGGAGCTCTGTCTGGAACTGCAAGAAAGGAAACTGTCAAAACATTTAGATAGCAAGTTATCAGATATCATTAAATCTTAATATGTCTATTGTTAGCATCTCCACTAACATCTGCCCCCACCCTTCAGAGAAGGTTGTTTTAGTTGGGCTTCATTTCTTTGTGGTTTAGACTCAAACACTGGGTGCTTCCTTTGAAATGCTCCAAGTAACAAGATGTAGCAGGCAGAAAGGTCCTTCTATTTCTTCCACAGTCCCCTGCTCAGCACCACAAGCAGTAAAGCATCCAGGAAAACTCCCTGCTCCACAGAAACATGACTCCCACCTTCCAAAGGGCTGTAAGAAGATAGCACTGGTGCAGAGCTACTGTGACTTGCTTTTAGCAAGTAGAGACCTTCACTTCTGTGAGGCAAGTTCTTAGTTATGAACCCTTTGCTTTCTAGTAATCTGAATTTGAGCAACCTAAACCAAGACTATTTTCTAAACCGAAGCATCACACATCCTTTTCACTTGGGCATTTATTT